AGTCTGCTGCTGCTGCTGCTGCTTCTGCTGCTGCTGCTGCTGCTGCTGCTGCTGCTGCTGCTGCTGCTGCTGCTGCTGCTGCTGCTGCTGCTGCTGCTGCTGCTGCTGCTGCTGCTGCGGCTGCTGCTGCTAGCTATGGTGTTGCGGCAGCTGCTGCTGACGCAGCAAATGCTGCGGGTTTTGCTGCTGCTGCTGCGAGTGGGTTTGCGGCGCGTGCAAGGGTGTTGCGCCCGCGTCAGCCCCAACCCCTAAACCCTAAACCCTAAATTAGGGTTTGCGCGCAGATGCTGAGCCAAGGCGGAGACGCAGAGCTGGAGCTGGTCGATCCCAGCGACCCTTTTACTGAGGGGGTTTTGTTGTCGGTGCGGCCCCCCAAGAAAAGCTGGCGCCACATCCAGAACTTATCCGGTAAACCCTAAACCCTAAACCCTAAACCCTAGGTCCTGCTAAAACCTCCGGCGCGGCGCTGGGGACCAGGGAAGCTCACGCCCAGGCTTCCGGGTTGCGGCAGCTTTGCGCTCACACAAAGATCAGCAGCAGCAGCTGCTGCAGAAGCTGCAGCAGCAGCAGCCGCTGCAGCAGCAGCAGCAGCAGCTACTGCTGCTGCTGCCTTTGGTGTCCAAAACTGCGTTTCCCCGCCCTGCCCTCCACATCATCAGCAGCCACACCAGCAGCAGCCCCGCCAGCAGCAGCAGGACGAGGTGGATCGCGTGTTTGCTGCCGCTGCTGCCGCTGCTGCTGCTGCTGCTGCCGCTGCTGCTGCTGCTGCTGCTGCTGCTGCTGCTGCAGGGGGGGAGCGGACGCTGTCTTCGCTGTCGCTGGTGTTCGCGCTGCACCAGTTCAAGCCAACTTGGATTTACTTTTTGGACGAAATCGATGCAGCTTTGGACTTCAAAAATGCTGCTGTTGCTGCTGCCTTTTTGCTGCATAAAGCAGCAGACGCGCAGCTCATTGTTGTCTCCCTCAGAAACCAACTCTTCGAACTCGCAAGCAGACTCGTGCGTGCTGCTGCTGCTGCTGCTGCAGTGCTGCTGCTGCTGCTGGGGTGTTGCCGCTGCTGCTGGGGTGTTGCTGCTGCTGGGGTTGCTGCTGCTGCTGCAGTGCTGCTGCTGCTGCTGCTGCTGCTGCTGGGGTTGCTGCTGCTGCTTCTGGGGTTGCTGCTGCTGCTTCTGGGGTTGCGGGGGCGGATGGTGGTGGCACTGCTGTTGCTGGTGCTGTGGTGTTGCAGCAGCAGCTGCTGCTGCTGGGGTGTTGCTGCTGCTGGGGTGTTGCTGCTGCTGCTCCTGCTGCTCCAAGCAGCTCGTTCTTCACCAATTAGTTCATTCTTTTAATCGTTCTTTACTTCCTTCTTTGTTTATCTGAGATATATAATTAAATATAACTTTTTATTTATTATTTTATTTATTACTTTATTTTTTATTTTTATTTTATTGTTTTTTTAGATTGGCATTTACAAGACGTTCGACGCAACAAAGTCTGTCACGCTGGACCCGGGGAAGCTAGCAGCAGCAGCAGCAGCAGCAGCAGCAAATGGAGAGCAAAGCAGAAAAAGGAGAAATGAATCAAATCAGGACCAAAAGGAAAACTTAAAAGAAATTGCAGATGAGCAGGAGGCGCAGCAGCACGCATCGCAGCAGCTGCTGGCGCTTCCTGCTGCAGCTGCTGCTGCTGGCGCTGCTCCTGCTGCTGCGCCGCTGCTGCTGCCGTAGCAGCAAGGGGCTTGTTCTGCAGGGCTGCTGCTTCCTGCTGCCTCTGTTTTAAAATGTTTTCTTTTAATTCCTTTGACTCGTTTGTCTTTAGTTACGCCTGTTGATTTGCTGCAGCAGCAGCAGCAGCTGATTTGCTGCAGTGGCAGCAGCAGCACCAAAAGCGGCAGCAGCAGCAACAGCAGCGAAAAAAATGGCAGCAGCAGCAGCAGAAACAGCAGCAACAGCGGCAGCAGCAGCGGGAACAGCAGCTGCTGCTGCTTGCTTCTCGGCCTCAAATTATTGATGCAGGGCTTGAGATCACCCCTATAATTTTAGGGTTTAGGGTCTAGGGTTTAGGGTTTAGGGTTTAGGGTTTAGGGTTCCCCAAACAGATTCTCGGGCCCAGCAAAGCTAAAAGGATATAAGCCAAACTTTAACTGACTTGGTGGGAAAGAACAAATATTAAATAAATAAGTATAAATAAATAAATAAATAAATAAGTATAAATAAATAAATAGATAAATAAATAAATAAATATGAATAAATCATTAATAAATCTCAAATTCTTTTTAAAAGAATTATTTTTCAAATTTCACTTTTGGACTTTTCAGCTTTAAGTCTTTTGGAGGCTTTTTTGCGAAGAGGGCCTTTGAAGATAATTCAGAATATTTTTATTTATTTATTTATTTATTTATTTGTTTATTTATTTATTTATTTATTCATTTATTATTACTTATTTATTATTTATTTATTTGTTTATTTATTTATTTTCTTTTTGTTTGGTTGTTTTGTTGCTTATTTATTTGCTTGTTTATTGCCTTTGGAGATAATAATTCAAAATACTTTTATTTGTTTATTCATCTATTTAATTGTTTTTTATTTTTTAATTCACCGATTAATTAATTTATTTTAATAATTTGTACATTTATTTATTTATTTATTTGTTTGTTTGTTTATTTATTTATTTGTTTGTTCATTTATTTTTATTCAATTGCGTATTTATTTGCGGGCCTGTTGGCACACCTGCCAAAAGCGGAATATGTTTTCAGTTCAGTTAAAATTTGAATTATTTGATGATTTTAAATCAGATTTAAACACTTTTTGTTTTATTTTATATTTTATTTAAACTCTTTTTGTTTTATATTTTATTTAAACTCTTTTTGTTTTATTGTATATTTTGTTTAAACGTTAAACATTTTTTGCCTTCCATTCTTTTATAATTCGACAAACGACGAAATAAATCGAAAGAAGGCGAACGTGCAATGCCACGGAGAGCCACCGCGGGGCTTTTTTGCGAAGTTGAGGGGAAAAGTGAAGAATAAACATTAATATTAAATTCAATTTGAGATAAAAATGTGAAATTAAATATAATTTGAATTTAAAAACGAAAAAGAAACATAAAAGAACCTCGAAACGGGGGAGCGGAGTCGTCGGCAGTGCTCTGGCGAGGAAAGATTTTCGGAAGACAATTTGGGGTCCTTTGCACCTTTTATTGATTTATTTATATCAAAAAAAGATTTAAAATGATTTAAAATTAACTTAGTGATCAATTTAATCATAAAAAGGACGAAAAATGAAAAGGAGCGTCTTCACACACAAAGAGCTCAGATGTACGTACACCGCAAACGCCTGCATGCCCGCGAGCCCCACTGAGCATGCAGCCCCATTTGTTGCAGAAAACCCTTTAAAAGAAGAAATAAACAAATTAAAAGTTTATTTTTAATGTTTTATTCTCTTTTAATTTATTTAATGAAGCCATTCAGCAGCCAGGGGCAGCAGGCGCGCCGGCAGCCCCGCCGCATTCGCTAAACACTAACCCTAAACCCCAAACGGCGGTTTTGAGCCCCCCCAAACCCTAAACCCTAAACTGCTGCTGCCGTCGAACCTTGAGCGCAGCAGCTCCGCGGGCGCGGGCCAAGGCCCAGGGTTTAGGGTTTAGGGTTTAGGGTTTAGGGCTTAGGATGGAGACGCTGCAGGTGGAAAACCTCTACTCCGGAAGTTGCTGCTGCACTCTTATTCGCTTCAATGAACTTTTGCTGCTGGTCAACTGCGGCATTTCGGACACCCTAGACCCTACCCCCCTCGCGCCCCTCCTCAGGTTCCAAACCCTAAACCCTAAACCCTAAACCCTAAATGGTGGTTTCGCACCCTCAGCCCACGTCATTTGCTTTAGGCTCGGGCTGCAGATTAGCTGCGAAGATGCGAGGGTCTAAACCCTAAACCCTAAACCCTGAGCTCTACTCTCAAACGCTAAACCCTTGCGCGCAAACCCTAACCCCTTGGCCTGAAGAGTAAACCCTAAACCCTCACCTAAATTCTGAACTCCACCTCAGCAGCTGCTGCTGCTGCTGGTAACCTGCTGCTGCTGCGGGTGACCTGTTGCTGCTGCTGCTGCTGCTGCTGCGAGCCCACTGCTCCTACTGCTGCCAGCCTGCTGCTGCTACTGCTGCCCACCTACTGCCGCTTACCTTGCCAACCTCCCGCTTCTGCCGCTGCTGCTGCTTGTGCTGCTGCTGCTGCTGCTGCTGCTGCTGGGGTGTACAGACAGCTGGGAGAGGTGGACGCGGTGCTGCTGAGCCACGGCTCTGTGGCTTATTGTGGGGCGCTGCCGCTGCTGCACCGGCTGCAGTGGCGCAGCCCCGAGGCCCCCGCAGCAGCAGCAGCAGCAGCA